AACCCCCTGCCCTCAGACAGTGCCTCAGAACCCCCTGCCCTCAGACAGCGCTGCAGAACCCCCTGCCCTCAGACAGCGCTGCAGAACCCCCTGCCCTCAGACAGTGCCTCAGAACCCCTGCCCAGACAGCGCCTCAGAACCCCCTGCCCTCAGACAGTGCCTCAGAACCCCCTCCCGTGGCTGTGGATCCCACGGGATCTGCTGCAGGGAGCTCCTCTCCCAGTTCTGCTCCCCGCTATGGATGGATCCAACAACACATAGCAGTGACAAAACGCTGGTGTTTGAGTTTGAGCAGGAACTGCCTGAATTCTCTCAAAAGGCAAGAATACCATAAACCCAACATTTTGCATAATTAACCCCTCAGCTGAACTTGTTTTCTTTTCTTTTTAAAAGGCAAAATGAAAAGTAAGAATAATAAAAAACCAGCAGAATTTTAGTGTTTCCTGTAAAACTTCAGTTCTGCTTGATTTCTTCCATGTGTGCTGCAGTGCCCTGTCAGAAATGTGCTGAAGCTGGTGGTGCTGCCTCCCACGGCCCAGCCCTCCCCAGAACTGCACACAGGCACTGGCAGAATTGGATATTTTAAATTTTTTTTTTTGCACATACAAATTGGATTCTCAACCTGAAAACATGTATGGAAAAATCAGAATATCTGTAGAAAAAAAAAAATCAGATTGTTCACCTTATTCTGTATCTGTAGATTTCCCAGGAGGGCTGTGATCCAAAGGAAATGGCCAAGAAGTTCTAAAAAAACATTTGCTTTGGGTGCTTTTCTATCCTCAGGCACCAAGTCAGTACTTGGCTGTACTAATGGTGGAACAAACCCACCATCCCCCTGCCCTGGAGAGACAGCACAAGGTCAAGCACATAACCTGAGTCTTCTGGTTATTCTTTTTGTGCCCAATCCATGTAAATCACGGGTGTAAAGTGGGTTTCTGACAAATTCTGCAGGTTATTAATGCAATTATTTGATAAGTGACACCGGGTTTGAAATCGTGGGGGTTTTACTGCATATCTGTGGTGAAGCCCTAAAATAGCATCACTTTGTTCCCCTGATGTGGGGCTTTTCCATCTTGGATCTGTAACAAATAAAATCCATATTGTAGCTTTTTATACCCAATTTACTCACAGTGTGGGTGGACTGGTGCTGTCACTGTGCCCAAAAGCTGTTCCAGGGATGGCACTGGCAGCCCAGCCCTTGCATTAAGATGAACAAGGAGCCTCACCAGCCACCAACAGGTACCTGAGTTAACTCACCTGCCAGCCCTGGAGGGCAATTACAGCCTGAGTCTCACTGGACAACCCCTGCCCTCCCATTGCCTTCCCTGAGGGAATGGGGCTGTGAGACAGGCACTGAAACAATCCCTGATGCTTCAGTTCATCTCTAGTTCTTTGGCATTAACAAATGTATCCCTGTTTTCAAAAGTGAGTCGTGATTTGGGATTGCTGGTGGGATGAGAACCAGGTGCTGTGAGGGCCTGGCTTTCTGTAGAGATAAAACTGGATCCACTGTTAAAAGACAGATTACCTGTCTTTAAAAACACCAGTAAATGAATGTTTATTTTCCCCAGGGGATCCAAGCAGCAGCCACAGCAGCTCATCTCATTTAATCACAGAGTCACAGAACCTTTTGGGTTGGAAAAGACCTCCAAGATTGTCGAGTCCAACCTTTCACAAATCACCACCTTGTCAAAGAACCATAGAATGGTTTGGGTTGGGAGGGACCTCAAAGCTCACCCAGTGCCACCCCTGCCATGGGCAGGGACACCTTCCACCAGCCCAGGGTGCTCCAAGCCCCGTCCAACCTGGCCTTGGACACTTCCAGGGATCCAGGGGCAGCCACAGCTTCTCTGCCCAACTTGTGCCAGGGTGTCCCCACCCTCCCAGCCAAGAATTCCTTCCCACCATCCCATCTAACCCTGCCATCTTTTAGTTTGAAGTAATTCCCCCTTGTCCAGGCCCTTATCCAAAGTCCCTCTCCAGCTCTCCTGGAGCCCCTTTAGGCCCTGGAAGGAGCTCTCAGGTCTCCCTGGAGCCTTCTATTCTCCAGGTGAACCTCCCAGCTCTGTCAGCCGGTTTTCTCCTTTCTTCTCCTCCTCCTTGTTCTCCCATTTCCCCTTCCTCTCCCCCCATCTTTATCTCTCCCTCTCTCATTCCCTCTCCGCAGTGCTCTCCAGCTGTGCTGACAGATGTGCTGACACACTCCCCATACCCTCCCTGTCCCCCACAAACGTTTCCTTACTGTGGCAGAGGCTCCTTGGGCTTTGGCTGTTTCAGAGAGAGGCTGCAGTGAGGAAGCACAGACATCCAGGGAGGAACTCTGGAAGTTTTCAGACTGGGAGCAATCTCAGAATCTTCTCAGAATTCTGAATCATTGTTTTCAGAACCCTGTGTGAGAATGGCCCAAGCCAGGCAATGCTCCAGGAAAGCCCTTTCCTGCTGAAGTCGCTTCCTTATGTGAGTCCTGCAGGTTACACTGCAGATGTTGGAGCAGAGCTGTCTCCTTGGGTGCTGTCCCCGAGGCCCAGCTGTGCCAGGCAGAGCTCAGAGGGCTGTCACTGAACACCCTGGGACACTCAGGGAGATAATGAGCACAGCACAGAGCAAACAGTGGCCTGGGAACCCTCCCCTCAGGAATCTTCCCTGCCCTCTTTCTGGTTTGTTTTTTTTTTAATGGAGATGTTTCCGCATTATTTTTTCTCTCCATTCCAGCTACTGTTTGAGTGGAACAGGAAAGAGAGACACTGATCTGGGCTGGTCTGAGGGGAAGGGCCCAGTGTCAGGCAGAGACAGGCCAGTTTGGGGGTGGTGTCCTGTCCCAACACCAAGCTGAACACTGGCCATTGCTTCCTATTCTCCACCATGGGCAAGACTGGACAAAATACAGCTTAAGATCAACAAAAATACAGCTCTGTAATTTGGAGGAGTGAAATATTTACAGCTGGATGTGGCACTCAGTGCTCTGGGCTGGGTGACAAGGTGGGCATCGGGCACAGGCAGGGTGGACTCCATGGGCTGGGAGGGCTTTTCCAGCCTCAGTGATTCTGTGACTCCATTCCATGATTTTGGGGCATTTTATTTCATCTGTGGGAGGATGTGATCCAGGAGGACGTGATCCGGGAGGACCACGATCCCTCTCTGCATGTCTGGCTGAGACCCAGCCCACGGCAGAGCAGCTGCTGGGACACACTGTCACCTCCCAGACATCTCCTCCTCACATCCCTCCGAGGGACACAGCCAGCACAGCAGACTTCAGCTGGAAGGCTGTAGGACGTGGTCCTTAGTGTCAGGAATTTTAGCCATTCCTGTGATGTCTTTGATGCCCTTTTTTTTCAGCAAGAGCTTCCAGCCCCACCAGACCCTCGAGCCCATCCCAAATCACACCTAACTCATATGGTTGTTTTCATCTGCAGCACATCCTGAAGATTTTAAGCAACTCCAACCTAATATCATAGACAAAAAAGGCTTCATCAAGTCTTGTGACCTTTCACAACGAACTGATGCATTTTATTGAAGATGCTGCTCACACACATGACATTTAATGCAAAACAGTGTCTGGGATGTTAATTAGACCTGGCAAGACAGAGGGACTCAAAGACATCCAAAAGAGATGGAAAAGCAGCTGTTTCCATCACTGTGAAAGGACATGTGTTGTGGTTTAACCCCAGGAAACAGCCAAGCCCCAGCAGCCCCTTGGTCACTCCCCCACCAGTGGGATGAGGCAGAAAATTGGAGTGGGGACAGCTGGAAAACTCCTGGGTTGGGATAAAGACACTTAAATAGGGAAAGCAAAAGCCACACACACAAGCAAAGCAAAACAAGGAATTAATTCCCTCTTCCCATGGGCAGCAGGTGTTCAGCATCTCCAGGATAGCAGGGCCCCCTCTCGTAATGGTGACTTGGGTAGACAAACAGAATCAACCCCAATGTCCCCCCCTTTCCTCCTTCTCCCCCACCCTTCATATACTGGGCACGTTGTCCTATGGTCTGGAAATCCCCTGGGTCAGTTGGGGTCACCTGTCCCAGCTGTGTTTCCTCCAAACTTCCCACCCCCCAGCCCAGCCCCCTCTCCAGTGGGGCTGTCCGAGGGGCAGGAAAGGCCTTGGCTCTGGGTAAGCTCAGCACTAACAAAACCATCTCTGTGTTCAGCACAAACCCAAACACAGTCCCACACCAGCCCCTGGGATTAAATTAACTCAACCCCAGCCCAAAGCAGCACAGCACGGCACTTCAGAGACAGATGGAGGCTGAGAGTGTCCAGGCCCCCTTAACAGGACCTGATCAAAAATGCTCTGAGCTCAGACCCTGTACTGAGCTGCACCCTGTGGGGTGTTCCCAGCTGAACAGCTGAGGCCTGGGATACCCAGGGTGGCTCCCAGCTCCTGGCCCAAGCCCTGTCCTGAGGAGTTTGCTGCCGGGTTGGCTGTGCTGTGGCAGCTGGGGAAGGGACAATGACCCCGTGCAAGGGGCTCTCAGTGAAGGCTACACCCTGTTATCTGCTATGAGTTTGTCTCACAGGCGATGGAGGTTCCTTCATTCCCCACCACGCGACTCAGAAAGACAAAGTCACGCAGCCCGTTTTTCTTCAATTGTCACCCTCTCACTGGGGTTCCACATGGATGTCTCATCAATGCTCGGGGTGTTCACAGGCTGCTGGAAGGGGTGAAGGTGTCATGCTGGCACACAACAGGGAAGTTCACAGCTCTGGGCTGAGGGACGGCATCTGAGTGGATCTTTCCTCTGGTAGTGACCTGCTGTGTGGATGGAGCACCAAAGAACCAGTCCACCAGCTCTGAGTGAGAAACCAGTCCAGCAGCTCTGACCAAGAAACCGGTCCAGCACCTCTGACCAAGAAACCGGTCCAGCACCTCTGACCAAGAAACCAGTCCAAGACCTCTGACCAAGAAATCAGTCTGCTGTTCCTGCCTGAGAAACCAGTCTGCTGTTCCTGCCTGAGAAACCAGCCCACCAGCACTTTCTGGCAGACCTGGTGGGGGAAGCTACCAGTCAGAGCCACTCTTCCTGCACAGGGCCCTGAGCAAAGCCTCCCGGATGTGGCTGGATTTGATGCTGTAGATGACGGGGTTCAGGGCGGGGGGGATGATGAGGTAGGTGTAGGCCACCAAAGTATTGACCAGAGGGGGAACGTTCTTCCCAAAGCGGTGGATCATGGACAGTCCAATCATGGGGATGAAGAACACCAGGACAGCACAGATGTGGGACACACACGTGTTCAGGGCCTTGAGACACTCCTCCCTGGTGGCCAGGCTGATGACAGTTTTGATGATGAGGATGTAGGACAGCACGATGAAGATGAAGTCCATCCCCACCGTGGACAAGAGAATGATCATGCCATAGAAGACATTGACCTTTATATCTGCACAGGCCAGGTTCATGATGTCAGGGTGGAAGCAGAAGGAGTGGGAAAGCTCCATCTTCCCACAGTAGGTCAGTCTCTTGAGCAGGAAGGGAATGGGCAGGAGGGAAACCATCCCCCTCAGCACGATGGCCAGGCCTATCTTTGTGACAGTGGCCTTGGTCAGGATGGAGGGGTGTCTCAGGGGGCGGGAGATGGCAATGAAGCGGTCGAAGGCCATGGCCAGGAGCACCGAGGACTCGATGAAGGACAGGATGTGGATGAAGTACATCTGGGTGAGGCACTCATCGAACCCGATCCTGCGCCGGTTGAACCAGAAGAGCCCCAGCGTGGTGGGCAGGGTGCAGAGGGCCAGGCCCAGGTCGGTGAGCGCCAGCATGCACAGGAAGTAGTACATGGGCTCGTGGAGACTCTGGGTCTTCTTGATGATGAACAGGATGGTGCAGTTCCCCAAGAGAGCAGTGAGGTAGAGAGCACAGAAAGGGATGGAGATCCAGGGGTGAAGGGCTTCCAGGCCTGGGATGCCCAGCATGAGGAAAGCTGAAGGCTGATGGAAGGAGCCATTGAACTCCCGCGTGGCACGTGAGTCCTGCTCCATCCCAGCTCAGCTCTTGCATGGCCTAGACCTAAAACACACCAACAACACAAACTCCAGGTAGTCGGACTCTGCACTGGATAGAGAAGCTGCACATCCCTCCACCTCCCCTCCAGCCTGAGCAGGCACCCATGTGCTGTTTGGACACTGGCACAGGTACCAACCACAGTGTCACGTATGACTGCGCTCCTGTTTATCCATTAAACCCTAGAATGAAGGAAGTGGATGGATATTTTTTCTTGAAAAAGAAAAAAAAAAAAACAAAGAAAAACTTCAGAATGAAAGGGAAAACCTTCCTGGTGAGCACCACTGCTTCACAGTTGTCCCCAGATTCCAGAGTTTGAGACGCTTTGTTGAGTGAGCAAATGCCTTGTCTGTGATCATCCCAGTCAAGACCAAGCTGCTAAGCTAAGGCTTCTTTTTGATGACAACTGGGTGAAAAAATGATGAAATTTTAACTCTGATACTTCTTATTTAAGAATCAACCTTGGAAACAGATGCAAAACTTGTTGGCACTGGCACAGGCTGCCCAGAGCAGCTGTGGCTGCCCCTGGATCCCAGGGGATCCAGGTTGGACGGGGCTTGGAGCAACCTGGGCTGGTGGAAGGTGTCCCTACCCATGGCAGGGGGTGGCACTGGATGGGCTTTGGGATCCCTTCCATGCCAAAACATTCTGGGGTTCCATGATGTAAAATGTACCAGAGAATCAGGCACTCAGCTCCTCCTACTCTTGGCTCAGAAGATGGGCCCCGTGGTAAGGTGGATTTTCAGTGCCTCTCACACCCAGGCTGTTACTCATTTCACAGTCCTACTACCACATGCAGAGAAATAAATGAGCAAAGCCCCACTTGTGCCGTGCCTTTGAATTTATCAATAACAGGCAAACACAAGGTAAAGCACAAGATGTTGCAGGTTCAGAGCCCTGGGGAGGATCCAGGTAAAGTCTCTGGGTCCCAATTGGAGGGAAGGGGGACATGGATGGGATGTGGTAGGGGTTTTACAGAGGGATCAGGAGTAGGAGGTGAGTGAAAGCACTATGGAAATCCAGCAGGTGTCTGCTCCGGGGAGTTCAGTGGGAGCCCACTGGGATGGGTGGGGTTGGAGCAGTGCTCTGGAGTAAGAGACCAAGGAGAAAGGCTTGTTCAGCCTGGAGAAGGGAAGATTTGCAGGGATTCACCACCAGCTTTCCCCTACCTCCTGGGAGCCACCAAGGAGGCTGCATCAGGCTCTTCAGAGCAGAGCATGGCAGGAGAAGGAGAGACAACCGGTGTAAGTCGAAACAAGGAAGATTTGGACTGGATGAAATGAGAAATATTTCCCCATCAAACACTGGAGCAGGTTGTCCAGAGGCTGCACATCTCCATCCTCAGAAGTTTTCAAGACCCAACTTGGCAAAGCCATGAACAGCCTTGTCTGGCCCTGTCTGGAGGCAGATGTTGGACCAGAGATCTTCTGAAGTGTCTCTAACCTGAATTATCCAGTGAACATCTGAGCCTCACACATCCCAGGTTCCTCCACTTATGTGACAAAGCGCCCAACAGAGATGCTGGAGAGGCTGTCGAGGTCCCCGAGCCCCCTCAGTGCCAGAAGAACTCGCTGGGTGGGTGGAAGAAAGCAGCAAATGTGCAAAACAAGAGCTAATTAAAGGAAAAAAGTATTTGTGGCTTCAGCCTTTCTGCATTTTCTGTAGGATGTGAAACATGCAGGTCACAGAGGGCCTGAACTGAGAGCAGAGGGTTAAATGTAACACAGCTCATCTTTGAATAACACACAGCTCTTCCGTGACGCATTTATTAGGGCCCTAATATGATTTTGCTTCATTAGATTCTCAGCTTGAGAGTCTAAAGTGACAATAAATCCCAAAGCTTAGCAAGGGCAAGCATCTTCCTGCTCCGGGGCAAAAGCAACATGTAAATTAAGGGAACCGGGGAAAATCCTAAGTCATTTACTTTCCTCCAGGCAGGGCAAAGTCACTTGTTGATATCAGGAATCCCCTTGACCTGCAACCCTCCTGTGTCAGGAGATGAGGGGACAATCCCAGCCCTTCTTCAGGAGAGCCTTGGGGGCGGCTCAGACGTGGGAGGGCAGCCAGGGCTTTCCCTCACCCATCCACAGTGCTCGATGTTACCAAGGGAGACTGTCCAGGGGTCCCTCAGGTGCTCACTGGTGGCTCAGAGCTCCCCAAAGCTAAGAGCTGCCCCTTCCTGCCAACCCAACACCATCTGGAGGGTGGGCAGGCCCTGGCACTGGCTGCCCAGAGCAGCTGTGGCTGCCCCTGGATCCCTGGAAGTGTCCAAGGCCAGGTTGGACGGGGCTTGGAGCACCCTGGGCTGGTGGAAGGTGTCCCTGCCCATGGCAGGGGTGGCACTGGATGGGCTTTGAGGTCCCTTCAACCCAAACCATTCCATAATTCTGGGATCTGAGCAGTGAAATCAACCTGCCAACTCCTGCAGTTCAGTCCCATCTGGGGGCTCAGTTATAAACCTAAAAAATTCCAAAAAACTCCAGGGCTGTGTGTCTGCCTGACTGTCCCCAAGAGCAGCTTCTGGCAGGTGTCCAGAGCTCTCAAAGACACTGAGATGCAACAGTTTTCCAGGAATTTGGAGGCAGATAAAGGGGAGACACTGTTGGAGCACAGTGGGAAAGAAAGGACTGATGAGAACTCCCTGGGTCTATAGGGAAGGCTCCTCCTACGAGAAAACATCCACTTAAACCTGACTTTGTCAGACACCAGCAACTCCATCACACTACAGAATTTACTCTAAAATAGGATTTATTCACTCTGCTCCTCTCTGAGCTGCTCTGGTTTGTTATGTGCTCCAACACGGATTCCACTCCAAGATCATTCTACCCCTCCATGTTTTCTGTGTGTCTATAAATGCTATAGAAAAATATATACACATAGAATGTATAAAAAAGATAAACAATCACACATGCTTGTTCACGTGTGTGTACATTTATACGTGCATAGATAACATAGCACAACTTATGGGACAACACATCTCTTACAGAGTCACACAATGACAATCAGTTAGATCAGAAAAGATCTCCCAGCAGACTACCATGGGATGGCAATTGCACCTTCCTCACTGCAGCCAAGCCCTGAGGAGGAAGCAAACCTCCAGTTCCTGGAGGATATCGAGTTAAACATTCATGGCAGCCCCTGGGAGGTGACAGTGGCATCCAGCCACAAAGAGGGGACTGTGCCCCTGCTCAGTGCCTGAGGTGTGTCTGCTCCCCAGGACCACCCCAGCCTGCCCAGGGGAAGGGGTCAGGCACCAAGGCAGAAGCCTCATGAAGGACATGGAGCTGTCCCTCCATCCCCAGCCCTCAAAAGCCATGACCTGATTTCCTCCCTGTCCCTGTCCCTGATTTTCACCAATAACTCAGAGTACTGGTGCTTTAAGGGTTCTTGTCAGTGTAAGCAGGAGCAGGGCCTTGGGAGCCGGGGCTGGGGATGGATGAGACTCAGAAATCTGCTCCTTTCCCAAGAGGAGCCGTTGCTATTTTCACAATGGCACCGCTGCCAACTCAAGCAACAAGTGAGAGCTCAGCAAAGGGACTCTGGGGACACAGCACCCACAGAGCCCAATTTCTGCTGACTCCAGAGGCGAGGGCAGGGACGTGCCGTTCCCACCACCCGAGGCTGGGAGAGCAGGGGGGCTCCTGCGCAAAGCTCTCAGCACAACACGCGGCACCGTGACCTTCCCCGGAGAAATTCCATCCACCCACCGCTCCCCAGAGCGCACCCCTCCCGGCGGGTCCCTCGGACCTGCCGAGCGGCACCTCGGCGACAAACCCTCCCCCCGGGCCGGTGTCCCACGCCAGGAGCGGGAGCGGAGGGACGGGCAGCGCTGCCCGCCCGGGGCACTCACCGAGCGCGGCGCGGGGGGCCGGGGGCTCTCGGCCGGCACGATGCGGAGCGAGGACCCGAATCCACGGCCCCGAGCCGGGAGGGCAGCGCTTATAACACCCCCCGGGCCCCGAGCGCGGCCAATCGGCCGGGCCGGGCTCCCCACGCGCGCACGGCGTGAGGCCAGGGAAGGAAATCATCCCTCCCGTCGGGGATGCTCTCCCGGCAGGCAGGATTCGCTCCCGGGAGTTTATTGGGCGACATGTTTACGGCCCCTGTGATTTATGGCTGGCACGGCTGCGGCCACCGCGCTGGCAATGCACAGAGCTTTTATTGGGGGAATAAATCTCTGGCGCAAATAATCATAAATTTTGTAAGAGGAGTGTTTGCAGCTTCGCTCCGAGGGAATGACAGAGGCGAAGCTCTGGCTATCCCCCCCCTGACCGGTGAGACACGGAACGTTTAATTAAAATCATCGAGTGTTGCGCAGTAAACCCAAAGTGGATGGCACAAAGGCAAACACAGCCCGGGCAGAGGGTGTCCCTCACCCAGCCCCAGGTGTCCCTCACCCAGCCCCGGAGCTGGCTGTGTGGATGTCTCCTGTCAGTGTTTATCTGTGCCACCTCAGCTCTTGGGGGGAAATTGCCTTTAACCCCCACTTCTGTGCCTGACCCGGGACACGGGAGAGCAAATGGGTTTGGGAAGCGGCTGGAGAAATTCAGCCTCTGGCCCTCAGAGGCACTTCTGCAGCTGTGAAGCCATCTGTGCTGGGGCACTGCTCTCTGTGTTCACCTGTAAATTCACATAATCTCAGAGTCCCTGGGGTTGGAAAAGCCCTCCCATCCCATGGATCTCCCCTGTGCCCCATCCCCACCCTGTCCCCCAGCCCAGAGCACTGAGTGCCATGGCCAGGCCTGCCTTGGACACCTCCAGGGCTGGGCACTCCAAACCTCCCTGGGCAGCCCCTGCCAAGGCCTGACCACCCTTGCCAGCAACAAATTCCTCCTCCTGGCCAACCTGAGCCTCCCCTGGCACAGCTGGAGGCCGTTCCCTCTCCTCCTGTCCCTGTTCCCTGGGAGCAGAGCCTGACCCACCCCGGCTCCACTGAGAGAGTTTGAGAGAGAAAGGGAAAGGGAAAGGGAAAGGGGAA